CCAGCTAACTCGAACGAATAAAATAATAATAATAATAATATAAAAATTTCGCTGAATATATTAAAAAAAAATAAAAGAAAAAGGAAAAAAGAATTAGAGGAAATGTCGCTGAGTATGTTTAAAAACAAAAAAAAAAGAAAAACTGAAAAAAGGCAATAACAAATTGTCGCTGTGTATGTTTAAAAGAAATAAAGAATTCCAACGATGTCAAGTCAAAACAAACAGTGAAAATTGTTAATCTAATTAAACCTCCCTCTTACCATTTCTGTTCTTCGCATAACTTTCTGTATTGAACCAATATTTGCCACATATGTCCAGAAAGGAATCGCAACATGATGACGGATTCCTTAAATATTTATTTACTTTAATGAACACCTTAAATTTACAAAATTCTAACTTTAATTCTAACTTAAACCTTTCACTTAAAATATTGCTGTTATTTCTACACTAGAATTTCTTCAAAGTAATCGTAACCGGCGTTTTGATTAGAGACCAAGCCGGTGCTCTTATTATTTATCTAGAGCTCCTTGAGAAAATCCAAAGAAAAATCAGCAATATTATTGGTCCTGATCTGGCATCTCAACTTCAGTCTCTTTCCCAACGCCGTAAGGTTGCCACCCTGTGCCTGAACTATAAATACTTTCATGTTAATTGTTCTGATGGGTTCTTGTTGTAGAGTAGTTTTCACAGTGGAGGCTTGTATTTCACTAAGTCGGTTCTAAATTAGGTTCGACGTACAAAACGTTAGGAACTTGAAATAATAGTTAATGACGCAGCAATCTAGCTGTGGTGGTTCATACTTCAATGTCCGACATCGACTGACTCACCAACTCACTCAGCCCTGGCGACTGCTACTACTACTACTTATTATCTGTGGGAGAGTCTAACAACAATAGAATAGGTATGTCCCGGTATAACAGTTCTTCGATATGGTACCCACAGACAATGAATTGTACATATGGGGACTACATTATTTACATTATACGAACTATTGTCATCAGCTTTGTCGCCATATTTATCACGCCGTTGTACGCTCCGGCCTTTTTCAGGTGGTTGGAATGTCGAACTGAACCCTTTATTTCGCTCACTAGGTCTTGGCACGTGGCAGAGTGGATAAAGGCGTTGGTTGGATCCAGTGACAGGACCCAAAGAGTGTGAGTTCAATACCCGGTTAAGGCAGTGGATAACTTGGAGAGAGGAATTAACAGGATAACTGACATCCATTAAACATGGCACGTGGAACATCCATTAAACATGGCACGTGAAACTAGAACAGTCTACCCCAGTGAGCGAAATATAGAGTTCAGTTCGACATTTCAACCACGTGAAGAAGGCCGGATCGTACAACGGCATGATAAATATGGCGACAAAGATGAGGACAATAGTCCGAATAATATAAACAGTGTACATAATACCTCATATCAGAAATATAGACAGAAGGAGACTAGTTAGGATTTTCATAGAGACAATGAGGTATTAAGGTGATTGTAGTAAGAAAGGTAAGAAAGAATGGTGTTACGAATATTGTGGTATGTTTGGGTCAGTGTTTGTGGCTAGCTAAATTTAAATTTAAGACAGAAGAAAACCGTCCTTTTCCCCAATTCCCCATTTTTGGTCTTGTGCCACAATTTCTGTATTGAAGCGGAAATAAATATCGCCCTTCAATATGGTGCCTAGCTAGGCCTTTTTGAATTTAAGCGCGGTACTAGACTGGTGTCGAGATCTCATCAATTTACAGTTGAATTGGCTATATATAACCGTAAATTCTATGCTAACAGTTTCTTATCTCGCACTTCTCGCTTATGAAACTCACTTCCGGCTCCATGCTTTCCAGCCAACTTTAAGCTTCGAAAATTTAAATGCAATGTCAATCGCTATACACCGTCCTCTTGATTATTTCTTCTTTTGTTCTCGTTCCTTAGTAATGTTTCTGTTTTTAATTCTTCCATACGCAGTAATCCGTTGTCTTATAGGCTTTATTGCCTTTCTTGGAGCGAACAACAAAAAAACTAACAATTAACAACAAACCTCATCGCTACACCGGCGTTCTACTTAACTTATAGCTGTAGAAAAATCACGTGGTAGAGATAAACACTCAAGCTAAGTGAATAATAATCCAACCTTTAGAAAGAGAGCTATTTATGTTGCCATGGAGCATCTCATTGTGCTAAAGTGGGATAGTCCATTGCTTGGGCTGTGATTGGCTGCTGGTACCTGAGTGGAGGTATTTCTATATAAATACCAGCTTGATTCATCAGTTAGTTTGCAGGGTTTGTATTAAGTTACAACCTGCTTTATTTTTGTCTGCCAGCTGGACGCTAGCTGGGACCTTTACACCGGTAAGTGCTGTTTATTATTGTTATTCTACAATAGCATAACGGATATCGAGTCGGAAAATGGAATCGACGTGCCGAGTTCACATTTCTCTCTCAATAACCCCTTTTAGTGGCTTTATCGCCTTGCTTGGGATAAAAAGTTTCTTTTTTAAATACGTTAAACACATGAGAGAGTTATCGCATCCTATATCTTCAACTTATTTATCTATTTATTCATTCATTTATTATTATACTGCTTTTCTAAGCTTTGATGTGGCCAATAGTATGGGTCACCCAATGAGGATCGAACTCACTACTCAGTTGTAACTGTCCTAACGAGACAAGCTTGCTAACCATTGCACCACGTCGAAGTGACCAAAAGATTTTCTATGTGTAGCTTAGATGTGGTACAAGCCGAAACTTGTTAACCATTACACCACGTCGTGGTTCCCAATTCATTCATTATTATGTATGCGTTGATTTTTCTCACTAAAAGCGTTTCTGCATTATCTTTTTTCACCATCATATCCAATCTTACAAAACCTGTTATTCCCATCTAGGCAATGACGAGACTCGATGTTACTTAACTTCGGCGATCGTACGAGAACTGGGTCTTTTCAACGTTATATGACCGCAAGCCATACCATCCGGACATTTAATCTTACAGCCACCTGTATTACCAAGCGGTTATTCGTCCTATGTACTAACCAGGCTCGACGTTACTTAATTGACTGATTGCATAAGCCATAATGACCTGAGACATTTCTAAGATATCCCTAACACTGTACAAAAGATAGCAGCAGGGAATTTTTCATCAACCTATTAGTAACTCCAAAACTTACTTCTGTACAAATCAATAGACATATGTCCGATTTTTAAAGGGATTATTTACCCAGGTGGACGTCCTTTTTTTTTTTACGAAGTTGTGATCAGTTCAAAAGCCGATGCTCGTCATGGAGATGACCAGACACACTGACGCGCCTGCCATTTAGTTACAGTCCGAATTAACTCCAAGATGATTGTTTGCACACGTGGCAAACTTTAAATCCTGTTTCAAAACCTCTTTTTTTCCTTTTTTTTTTTTTTTTTTTTTTCCTTTTTTTTCCCTCACCAGACACTAATGGTATGTTGAAATAAAATGGCTTGACTGCTAATTAATTAGCAGAGAATTGATACTTTGCTGTATTTATTTGAGTTAGCCTAAATCTGGCTCCTGCAACATTTTATTTTCTCTTTTTTTTATTTCTAAGGTCGGTATATAATAATCTGTGTCTCGTTATAGCCTGGCACAGAGCCACAGTCAATAGTCGGGTTCCCAGCTAGTGGCGAACATAAAAGTAGCAATAACTTTTGAGATGAATTTTATAGCCATAAGTGATCGTCATCATATATACATGGTCCTAATTTCGGTCTACTTGAACAGATTATTCAGTGCGTTCCTTCTGTCAACTTCTCCCGTGTCTTGCCGCATATTTTGCAAATCTCACTAAATTAGTCCAACAACAAATAAAGATCCTTTTTTCTTTCTTTAAGAAACTTATTTTGTGCCTTAGGTTTTCCGAATGAGGAGGTGATTAAAAGTCCTTGACACAACCAAGAAAGGAATTTTTTTTTTTAAAAATCCGACTTTCGGAAGTGGTTTGGACGGAAAACCTTTCATAATCCTTTAAATGACGCATGACGTCACGGTAGACCATTTCAAATGTCTATCTTCCCAAAGAATACAAGGATGCAGAAAAGGGAATTCTAATTACCACACGGACGCCATATCAGCTCTTGATAGTGGCTGCGAAAATAACAAAATATGAACTTCGGACATTTTATCCACAACTTCGGACACATTACTAACACCTTATCCAAAAATTGGAAAAATAAATAACAAACCTTGTTGGTGCTTTTTAATCAAACTTGATATATATATATATATATATATATATATATATATATATATATATATATATATATATATATATATATGATAGGCTTCACACACAATATATATATATATATATTGTGAATATATATATTGTGTAAATACATATATATATATATATATATATATATTGTGTGTGTCAAGGTCCGCCTAAATATATATATATATATATATATATATATATATATATATATATATGTGTGTGTGTGTGTGTGTATGTATGCATATATATTCAAGAACTTTGAAGAGGTAGCTATGAAGAGATCAGAGTAACGTTCTCGCTGCCATTCAGGAAGAATACACCATCAAGAAGTAAGCATCAGTCGACTACGTGAAACACGAAAGCAAAATAAGACAGCTAACAGTGTTCCTGCTGCACTTGGATACAAGACATTCTCCTGTACTTGTTTGCGCAATTCTTGAACCGGTTTCAAAAGTCATGCCCATCGTAGGCATGCAGATAATTAGTTCGTGTTCGTCGG